TAGTGGCAGTCTTTCCCCGGATGGCAGGCTTATTCGGCCATTGCAGGTGCATCGGCGACGTTCTCAAATCGCGTGCGGTGTCGCGCAGGCCCTGCGTTGTTGTGTCCGTCGCGTCGTTCACGCGACCCCGTGCTTGCTGCTAGCTAGGCAGCTTTCGAGCGAGCCGAGTCAGCGGCAGGCGCCGCCTTGCTGGCTTCTACTTCTCATCTAAAGTGCTGTGGCGATGCTTAAGGAACGAATGACCCCTTCAGCGGACGGCTTGCCGTGAACTATGTCTTGATTCCTTGTCCAGCTCATCCACTGGCCTCAAACGGCCCAGAAGAGGCACAAGAGAGGGCCAAGCCGAGCAGGTCCGTGACCCACCTGCAGGCCATCCTCAAACGGTCCCTTTTCTTTTGCAGGGAGACGGAGGTTTTGCGTTGCCCTCGGGATTTCTGTGCCCTGCTGCTCGACGGCGCGCAGCTACCCAAAGCCTCAGGGTTTCTGCACTGGGGGCTCCTGATGCGCTGCGCTGTGGAGCTAGAGATGGGGGTGGAGGAGCTCGTCCTCGCCCTCGCCTTCCCTGCCTTCGTCACTGTCTCGGCCTCGCCTGAGATCCCCTGTGTCATCGCCGGCCGAGTTCGATTCCAGGTGGTGCACGGCACCGCACCTGCTCGCGACGCGGGACGCACAGAGGCAAGTGGCGGCCAGCGGTCGTCCGCCCGTCTGCCCGGAGCCACGGGCTACGGGGCAAGCGCCGCGATAACACGCCTTATTTGGTGAGGGTGGATGGGGTACGATGCGTCGCCGCGCCGTTTGCTGCGACGCGCGGCCTCACGTTTTGGGGAGGGCGCCTCGGCCACCATGACAACCGCCGCTTCTCGCGCGGTGGGCTTGCCGTGGGCTTGCCGCGTGGCGGCCTCGTCTGCTTGGGGTGCGGGACGCAGGTTTTGCCGTGGGCTTGCCGCGCTGTCAGCGTCGTCCATGCGAGCGCGTCGAGAACAAGCGGCGCGGCGACTTGTGACCTATCGCGAAGCGGGGTGACACTACCGAAGCACACTTGCATGAGCTTTCGGCTGGGCCCTGGCTTCGGCTCCTGATCTATGGGCTTTCGCCCGCACATATTCTCTTGGATAGACTGCAGGACGACGCTCGTCCTCCTCATCCGCCTCTCACTGTCTCCCAGGCCGCGAGGCCTCTCCCCATGGCCGATCTGTGAAATGCTCGTCTTGTGGACTTTCCTGGGGCCCACCTGCAGGATTTGCTCGACTGGATCGACTCCAGTGCGACTCGAACTCTGTCATATGTGGACTCAAGTTCGACACAATTTCGTTCCGAAGTATGTTCAAGTCGATGGACGTTCGGCGCAGCATCGATGCACGAATGGGCAGCGACACCATCATCGTTATAAACCTCATCACCACCATCATCATCATCCTCATCATCACCATCATCATCATCATCATCATCATCATCATCATCATCATCATCATCATCATCATCATCATCATCATCATCGTCATCATCATCATCATCACTACCACCACCGCCAGCATCATCATCACCACCACCAGCATCATCACCACCACCATCATCATCATCAGCATCATCATCACCATCATCATCACGATCATCATCATCAGCGTAACCATCATCAGCATCATCATCACCATCACCTTCGTTATCATCACCACCATCGTCAGCACCATCAGCATCAACATCATCATGATCATGATCATCTCCCTATCCTCTCCCTCATCCTCCCCCTCTCCTTTCTTCCCCCTCCTCCCACCCCCTACTTCTCCGCCTCCCCCGCCCTCCTCCCACTCCCACCTCTCCTCCCCCTCCAAACCCTCCCCCCCCCTCCCCCTCTCCCCCCCTCCTCCCCCTCCTCCTCTCGCCGCCCGCGGCCATGGCGGACCTGTCGGCTCTGCGGGGGCGTCCCGCAGCCGGGCCGTCCTGCCGGGCAGTCCTGCTGCCGGCCTCCTGCCGAAGCCGGCCCGGAGGGCTCTGGCTCGGGCAGGAGGCGGGTGGCGCCACGGCGCGCGTGCCACGTCCGCGACCGCGTTCCCGCGCCAGCGCCCGCGCCAGCGTGACCGAGCCGTCATCCGCCCGGGCGCAGCACCGGGGCGAGCAGCGTCTGTCCAAGCCAGAGGCAGGGGCAGAGGCAGGCGGCGCTCCCATGTGGCCAGGGTGCACCTCCGCCCCTGCATGCTCGGCAGGAGAGCTCCCCCACACCGAAGGAGTCGGGCTGGGTGCGGCGGAGCAGTGGCACCGAAAGATCAGAATCTAGGACGGGGCATCCTGGGGCACTGGGAGTAGGGCGAAGCCGGCTACCGCCTGAACCTGGGATTCCAAACTGGATTTGCCTCCTCTCCTTAGTCCTTAGGCGCTCGAGAGTGAGACGATTGTCTTTGGAGAGTCTGAGGGGCTTGCGCTCACCCGTCAAAGACACCACACGAGGCGAGGCGAACGTGGCGCAGTGAGTGCAGCAAGCAGAAACATGACTTGCACATCTGAAAGTTGGAACCTTCTGCTACTTGGACCACGCGGCTCGCAACGCGACCTGAACCTTCTGGATCCTCTGGACACCAGTGGGAGGCTCGGGCATGACATGAGTGAGGGAGGAGCCTGAACGCGCAGCTCGCTGCCTGAGCAGCGAGCCATTGTTGGCAATGGGCACACCAACTTTGGTAGTCCATCTTGCCGTGAACGAGACCAGACATGTCTGAGTACGAAGGAGACCCAACTCATGAGGTAGCGGCCGTTCGTCCTTAGCTTGATCCCGAGCGGACTGGTCGACAGTATCGTTCCCCTCCTTCTGCCAGCTTGTATGTCTCTCCTCCTTTACCATGGTTTCAGTGACATGTGCCTTGACATTCTTGAGGTCTGGCGGTTCTTCTTCCCTGTCTCGAAGTTTGTCCCAGACTTGCCTTCAGAAACAAGCCCAAGCCGACGACGGCGCAGTTGTCTCTTGTGGCCTCTGTTGACGTAGCTCTTCCAAGCAAACTCCGATTATGTAAGATGCGAGTAGCGCCGAACCCTAGGGGGGCCAGCAGTGTGTACATGTCTGGCCCATCGATAGGGGGAGCAAACCAGCGATGCATGGCACAACCTCGACGGCATCATCTGAAAACGATACTGCGCCCAAGCTGCAATGCCCCTCTCGGGGTAATCCACGTATACTGGCTCATCGGCGTAGAGATCACCTGTGAGCGGATTCGGGTCTCCAAGCCACTCGGCAGCTGTAAGAGGCACTGCGGGACCTTGGGCATCAGGAGGAGGCCGCGATCCAGCAAGATGCGGATGACATCATTACCTTCAGCACTCGCGGAGCGAGAGCTGAAGGGATCGGCCCTCCTGCTGCTGCTAACATGGGCTTGCAGGCCAGAGAGTCCTTGGGGCACTCTTACACGCGAGGCAGTTGGGTAAGTCAATCCAGCCTTGTCGAAATGAACAAGCTTGAGGCCATAGCGCCCCAATAGTGGCACTCCTGACGTACCCGCGCTGCTGCCGACAAAACCGCCCGCTTCAACTGTTTGTGCAAAAAAGGGTCGGGAGGAAACGCAATTCGTTGTTTTTCCTCCCGAGTCATTTTTTTGTACAAAAAGAAACGACTCGGGAGGAAACACCGTCAACGTGGACGGTCCCGAGGCCCTGCATAAGGGCGCCCCTGGGGCCGAGAAGATGGCCCCCACAAAACCACCCGCTCCAGTTCTTGTCTGGAGCACGGGGCGCTCCTCGGGAACTGGGGAGGAGCGAGGGGAGAGGGGAGGAGAGAGGGGAGGGCAGGGAGAGAGAGGAATGAAAGGAGAGAAGGGAGGAGAGAAGGGGAGGAGAGAAGGGGAGGAGAGAGGGGATGGTGGACAAGCTATGTGCGCTCGCGTCATATCTGACCTCCTACCCCTCGCTCCCATCCCTTGCCATGGCGTAGATCTCCTTTCGATTCGCACAATCGGATGTCGTAGTATGGCATAGCATTACATGGCACAGCATGGTGTTGAATATTTTCGCGTAGCATGACACAGTATGGCGTGGCGACGCTCCAAAGTTTAGGGGGGCTTCCGCGGCCTACAAAATCAACGAATCGGCACCGCGCGTGCAATCAGTTGCGATGGTTTCTTCGGGGGGATTCTTTAGATTTGGGGGCCGATTTGGAAGAACCGAAACCCATGCCGTGGCATGGCACTGGAACTAATGACGCCAGCGCTGCAGCGGGAACACGATTCGGAACGAGCGGAAGCGCGGAAATGAGGCCAGCGCTGCAGCGGGAGCACGATTCGAAACGAGCGGTAGCCCGAACTTGAGGCCAGCGCTTCAGCGAGAGCAGCATTTTGAAACAAAACTAAGGGCGCAAGCGTGGAAATTAGGACGCGCAGCCTGACATAGCATGGCGTGGCGACGCCCCAAAGTGGGGGGCTTCTGCGGCCCCAAAAGTCATCGAATCGGCACTGAATGTGTAATCACTTCAGATGTTTCTTTGTGGGGTCTTTTTCTAAATGTTGGTCCTCATTTGGATGGACCGAAAGACATGCCGTGGCAGGGCGCTGGAAGTAATGACGCCAGCGCTGCGGCGGGACCACGATTCGGAACGAGCGGTAGCCCGAAAGCGAGGCCAGCGCGTCAGCGAGAGCAGCATCAAAAAAAAACGAAGCGAAAACCCGTTTCCCGAGAATCCTGTGTCTCAAATACCAGTACGCGGAGGGGGGCCGACCGTTCCCTGGACGCCACCAGGGGAGAGAGAAAAGTAGCAGTCATATTGTTCAATTGTGGAGGGGAGGGAAAGGAGAGGAGGGGGAGGGGAGAGGAGGGAAAGGAGGAAAAGGGGCGAGGAGAGGGGGGGGGGAGAGAGGGGCGGGGGGAGGAGGGGAGGGAATGGAGAGAGGGAGAGGGGAGAGGGGGGAAAGGAGAGAAGGGGGGGAGGCGAGAGAGGGGAAAGGAGCCAGGGTAGGGCCGCAGCACGCAGCGCAAAACGACAGGCGCGAGAGGAAGCCCCCCCCACCCACCCCCAACAAGAAGAGGCCACCGGCGTGGAGCTCCGCGCCCTGCGCCGCCTGGCCGGCGGCGCCGTGGGCGGCCGGCGCGCGGAGGCGCTGTGGGAGGTGCTGGTCTACGCGACGGTCACGGCGGGCCCCGGCCGCCGGGCGCGAGGCAGTGGCCACCGAGCGCGCTGCAGTCACTCGCAGAGTGCCTGCTCGCAAACGTCCGAGAGGCAAACGTGGGGCGCTCTCCAGACCGGGCCCTGCTTTCCGCGGGTGGAAGGCGGCGGCGGAAGGGCGGCGGGAGGTCGGCGGGAGTGAAACGATCTGCCCTCCGCCGGCGGACGGCGAGCGGACGGCCAGCGGAACGGCGAGGCGCCGGCGGACGGCGAGCGGACGGCCAGCGGAAGGCGGAGGAAGTAGTCAGCGCTCGCAGAGAGGAGAGCGTTTTGGGGTTCAGGGCTTGCGGGATCGCGCGGAGGAAGTAGTCAGCGCTCGCAGAGAGGAGAGCGTTTTGGGGGTTCAGGGCTTGCGGGATCGCTCGGGTGTCTGCCTCCATGTAATGTATCGTGGATCGCCGGCGGCGGATCCAGGCCATCTGCGAGTAGTTGCTCTGTTGCGAGTAGAGTCAGGGCGGGCGTGTCCCTCTACAGGAGGAATATTCAAAGATGGTCGAAAAATGGTACAGGGATTGTTTGTGCTACTACTTCTTGTCACTTTCGAATATTTTTTGACAATTTTAAATTTTTCGCGCGAAATCCGCCTGTAGGAGGACATGCCCGAACTAAGAGTAGCGGGACGCGCGATGAAGGGGTGGGGGTGATACGTGTTCTTTTCGGCCCCCTCCTGAGCCCCACAAGGCCCCTTTAGGGGCCCCCAAGGGCGCCTTTTTGGCAGCCCTCGTTGCCCTCCCATTTCTCGCCCCCCCATCGCGCGTTCTCCGACGAGTCTTCGCCACGGGGGAAGCGAGTCCTAATGGAAACGGATCCTGGATTTGGGGGCCTTCCCCAGGACAAGATCTTCATCCTGAGTCGTTCCTAATAGTCCGGGGGCCCGTGGAGGGACCCGAGAGCCCGACAACGGCGAAAAACCTCAGGACCGCTTTCCCTCAGGACCTGTCCCCCGCGGGTTCTGAGAGATTTCGCCACCACCCTTTTCCACGCCACCTCGCCGAGCCTTTCGACGGACGACGACGACGACAACGACGACGACGACGACGCCGACGCCGACTCCGACGCCGACGCCGACGCCGATTCCGACGCCGACTCCGACGCCGACGCCGACGCCGACGCTGACGCCGACGGCGACGACGATGACGCCGCCGACGCCGACGCCGACGCCGAGGCCGACGCCGACGGCGACGCCAACGACGACGAAGACGATGACGACGACGCCGACGCCGACGCCGACTCCGACGCCGACGCCGACGCCGATTCCGACGCCGACTCCGACGCCGACGCCGACGCTGACGCCGACGGCGACGACGATGACGCCGCCGACGCCGACGCCGACGCCGAGGCCGACGCCGACGCCGACGCCAACGACGACGAAGACGATGACGACGACGCCGACGCCGACGCCGACTCCGACGCCGACGCCGACGCCGATTCCGACGCCGACGCCGACGCCGCCGCGGCCCAGGCCGACGCCGCCGATGCCGTCAAGTATATAATCCTGGTTCACAGTGTTCAGGGTTGCACAGGGTCACTGGGTCACAGGGTATATAAACCCCCAGCCAGATGGGATGGGTCACAGGGTTCCCAAGCAACCCCCCCCAAGCCCCAAGAGGGATCTGGGAGGGGGACGACGACGCCGACGCAGACGCAAACGACGACGACGACGATAACGAAGACGATAACGACGGACACGGACACGGACGACGCCGACGACGACGAAAACGACGACGACGACGACGACGACGACGACGACGACGACGACGACGACGACGACGACGACGACGACGACTACAGCGCCGACGACGACGACGCCGATGCCGACGCCGACACCGACGCCGACGCCGACGATGCCGCCGACGCCGACGCCGACGACGACGCCGACGCCGATGCTGGCGCCGACGCCGACGCCGACGCCGATGACGACGACGCCGACGACGACGAACGAGGCGTCGGTTTTCTCTGGGAACCCTCATTGGCCCACTTTGGAGGCCACTGGGGCTGCCTCGAGGCCATCTTGGGCCCTCTCTGAGGCTGTCGTGGAGGCATCTTGAGCTTTCTTGATGGTCTGTGTGGATTCCCTGGCGCCATGCAAGGCGTCCAAGATGCCAAATATGGCGTCTAGGACGGCCCAGGTTGGCCACCACCAGGGTGGAATGGCATTTTCCACCGTACGTGTCCTTTTTCAGCATATCACCAGAAGAAAAAAGCTTGGCCAGTGGACATGATTCTGACGGTGCCACCCAACCAGACCGCCCATCGGGGGCATGCCAGGCCACCTCCCCGTGGACCAGGCCCCGCACATAAGCACACCAGACCACCCATTAAAGCAAACCAGACCACCCACAAGTAGACCAGAGCCCGCCCAAAAGAGGACCAGACCAACCATCGTATCAGGCCAGACCACCCAACAAGTAGAACCGACCCCGCCCAGAAGTAGGTTAGGCAACCCATCGCAGCAGGACAGGCCACCCACAAGTAGACCAGACCCAGCCCAAACGTATACGACACCACCCAGCAAAGCCAGCCAGATCACCCAACATAGACCATGCCCCGCCCACAGGTAAACCAGTCCGCCCACAATTTGACCAGATCCCGCCCAACAGTAGACCAGACCAAGCAGCATGGCAAGCCAGAACACCCACAAGTAGACCAGACCCTGCCCAAAAGTAGACCAGACCACACACAACTGGACCATGCCCCGCCGAATGGTAGACCAGACCACCCATCCAGGCAAGCCAGGCCACCCAAAAGTAGACCAGACCCCGCCCAATAGTAGGCCAGACCAGCCATGAAACACGCCAGGCCACCCAAAAGTAGACCAGACCGCCCATCAAGGCAAGCAGGGCCGCCCAAAAGTAATCCAGACCCCGCCCAGCAGTTCATGCGACCACCCATCAAAGTAGTCCAGACTGCCACAAGTAGACCAGAAGTAGACCAGATCACCCATCATGGCACACCAAGCCACTCAAAGGTAGACCATACCCCGGCCAACAGTGAAGCAGCACCAATCAATGCAAGCCCGACTTCCCTACAATAGACCATACCCCGCCCAACAGTAAATCACACCACCAATCAAGCTAAAGCAAAACGCCCAACAGTAGGCCAGACACCGCCCAACTGTAGCCCAGGCGGCTTTCATTGCACAGCGCAGGTTGCACCACATAGATCGGACCATATGGCTGGGACCACACAGCCTGCACTACATAACTCCATACATCACACCGCATGGATGGCACCACGCAGCTCACAGCACATAGATCACACCACACCGATTATTTCGTTAGCTCCTACCACATCGATTGCACAACCCAGCTTGCAGCACACAGGCCACACAGCTGATATCTCACCACGTAGCATGCTCCACATAGCCTCCACCACATCCACCACATTGTTTGCTCTACACAGCTCGCGCCACATATATTGCAACACTTAGTGGTGTATCTTGTTTGCGGCACACAGCGTCCGCTAAGTGCACACGCCGCCTCAAACCAGGAATGCGCCGGTACTCCCCGTCATCCACTTCCTCCTCCTTTTCCTTCATCTTCTCGCCTCGCTCTGGGGCCCGTTCTGGAGGTGTCCGGGTTTGTCTCGTGGCCACCTTCGGCCATCTAGGATTGGATCACACCACAGTGCCCCGCATAGCCTGCACAGCATAGTTTAAACTGAAGAAATTGCACCACGGCGTTGCGCCACATAGATTGCATCATGTAGATTGCAAGACATATGCAGCAACACATCAATTCTCCTTTCTACAAAGAGAATAGACTCTACCCCCCCCCGGCGTTATCGGCCCCCCTTTCGGGTATGTAAACCATATATGATTCTGACCACATGTCCATCCTAAATATGAGTTTACACTATCCCTGGGGGGGCGGTATCGGCCCCCCTGAGGTTCCCTGGTGAAAAAACAGTGAAGGGGGTCATCTTTTGTTCTAACATAACACTTGTTCGCGAATCCCTTTCAAAAAATGGGACGAAGTGCGCACGCGCGCGTCGTCGCGCGCGCATGCCGGAATCCTTCAAAAACCTTCGGTGTCGGAAGGATTTCGCAATCGAGTTTCCAAAAAACGTACAACAACACAGGGTTTCGCAACACTGATTTGCTAAAAAAGCTTACGCGCGAGCTCTTGCGAAATCTTGAGAAAACCATGCATTTTTCAAGATTGACACAAGATGCTACCAAACGGACTTCGCGCGCGCATGTCGAAATCTGTCGAACGCCCTTGCGCGTGTGCCGTCGCGACAATCCTCTGCAAAAATTGAGACGAAGTGCAGACGCGCGCGTCGTCGCGCGCGTATGCCGAAATCCTTCAAATCCCATCGGTGTCGGAAGGATTTCAAAATCGTGTGTTCAAAAAACCTTCAAAAACACAAGATTTCGCAACACGGATGTTCAACAAAAGCGTGCGCGCGCGCTTTTGCGTCATCGTCGTCGACGTCGTCGTCGTCGCCGTCCTCCCTCCTCCCGCGTCGTCGTCGTCGTCGTCGTCGCCTACGTCGTCCTCTGTCTTTCCTCGTGTTCGTCGTCGTCGCCCTCTTTGGCGTCGTGGTCGTTTCCGTCGTCGTTGTCGCCGTGGTCGTCCTTCCTCCTCTTCTCTCGTCATCGTCGTCGTCCGTCGTCGGCGTCTCGTCGTCGTCCCTCCTATTTCGTCGCCGTCGTCGTCGTCGTCGTCGTCGTTGTTGTCGTCGTCGTCTTCCCTCCTCCCTCGTCGTTGTCGTCGTCGGCGTCGCCGTCCTTCCTCCTTCTTCGTCGTTCGCGTCGTCGCCGTCCTCCCTCCTCCCTCGTCGTTGTCGTCGTTCTCGTCATTGTCGCCGTTGTCGTCCTCCCTCCTCCCCCTCCCTCGTCATCGTCTTCGTTGGCGGCGTCGTTGTCGTCGTCGTCGTCGTTGTGCTCGTCGGCGTCGGCGTCGTCGTCGTCGGCGTCGTCGTCTTCGTCGGCGTTGTCATCGTCGTCGTCGTCGGCGTCGTCGT